TTTCCCTAATCTAAGAATGAAGAACTAGCTCCCAAAGCTGCATTTCTAGTGGCAAGAGTTATTTTGACGTGTATGAATGGGGAAGCATTTGTCTTCATAACAATATGTGTGGCCAAAACTAGTGCTACACCTTGTCTGCATAAGCGTATTTTGTCTATATAAACATTATGAAGTGTGTTCCATTCATCTCGCCTGTTACTAACTTGTTTATAGCATTAGCTGGCATGTTTGTGATCAGTGTCACCAGGTATCTGTCAATGACCGAAAAAAATTCTGTATATTATTATTTATGTCTAGTGCCTTATGGCTGGACTTGGACTAGCAGGCACTTAGTCTCTCCTTACCGATTCTCCTGCTCTTGAAGGGAGGCTGATGGTGATGATATGATGCGTAGCTGTTAGGGAGTACTCTTCATCAGCGGATGTCAGAGATCTACGGAGGAGATAAGACTCCTTATGCCTGTTTTACAGCCAGGGCTGAGGTTATTTTCCACATCCACCAAGGGTGTTGTAAAGATGAATATATTTGAAAGTGACACTGGTAACACAGAAGGTAGATTTAAAACAGTGCTGAGTAATGGAAGCTTTGTTTCTTAGATGGCTTGATAAAATTTTCTCTTTTACCACAGAACTTGAAGACCTTGAAAATCTGTCTGTTGTCCCAGATGAAAGGTAATGCTGTGTATCTTTACTATAATAGCCTGGTGGCACTACCTTTTCTGATGACCAGCTTTCTGGTGACTCTTCTGGCTGGGGCGGGGAAAGGTCTGGGAGTGGTAGATTTGGCCCTCCCAAGGAAGGGGAAGGAATGCTGCTTGACAGCAAATGTCTGTGGTGTTTGGCTTAGCAGAGTGTTGCTCTGGTCCTGGAGTCTTGCTGAAGGGTGGTGGCTGTGGCTCTGCGAGGGCCTGGGTGTATCAAAGCAAGGGGATAGGAATGACAGGATGGGAGAAAACTTTTCAGGGATGCAGAAGAGGCAGTGGAGCTGCTGATGACATGGTGCTATTTTTCACTGTCTCTATTGCTTAACTTTCAGATCACCTTTTGAACCAGGCAGCAATTCTGCTGAAGCGACAGCTCAGGAGTTGTGCAGAGCTTTCAGAAAACACTGGTTGCAGATAGACTCTGCAGTTCAACTGTCTGGTTGCCTGAGCTCATCTAAGCAGAGAGTGAGTTTGAGCTGAAAACAGAGGGCTCTTTATTCGGTTCCCCAAATAATCATTGTCTTACTGCAGCTGCTTCACTGTTAGGGAAAGGGGGAAGCTGCATTTAAAAAAGAAAATAAATACAGAAGAGTACTTACAGTTTTTATTAGTTTACTTTAGAAAATTTTTAGAAAATTTCCTCTCTCTTTAGCGATTTTCAGCACATTTAAGATGTGCAGTTGTGAACAATCAGGATGTGCTTTCTTCTGGGACTGATACAAGGGAGTTTAACTGAGGGGGGACTACATGCAGGTGAAAACTGAACTTTAAAATCCCTGAATATAAATGGAGATGTTTTATAGCATATGTCCAGCTGATGGGCTGTTCATCTTCATGAGTTTGTCTTTCCCAATAGTCTGTGTTGAAAGAAGAGATTCCAAGAGAGCTTGAGTCCAGTTTGAATCTGGCTGAAGAAATAAAGATCATATCCAAATTAAGAGGATCTTCTGGCTGGGCCCCACCAAGATCGCAGATTATATTTAATATTCACCCTTCAGTCAAGTAAGTCTAAGGGATCTGAGCATTGTCATTTAGTACAGCGTGGGGGTTTGTCTAAAGCCTGCTGAAGCTGATGGAGAGAGCCTGGGTGATTTAACAGAACCTACGGTTAGAGCTAGTGCATGGTGCAGCCTTCTGCAGTGTCTGTCACCAGCTTCGCTAGAAAGCAGATGGCATCTTTTTCCCTCTGTTGGCACGTCCTGATTAACGTGGCAAGTGCACTTTTACATGTGATAATACACATACTGTTTGGTGTTACAGTGACAGTGTGCTTAGCTGGACTCCTAAAAATCTCATTTTGTGAGACTACCTGGAGAATATTTTTAAGAGTTTCCCCACTTCCCTGCTGATATGGGTAGTAGGTTTTTCAGAAAGGGGGTAGAAAACGGGTTGTGTTTGGGGAAACTACTGTCTCACTCCGCTTAAAGTGCTGTTAAATGCACACAGTAGGCAAGCTGGCTAATTCCCTGTGTTGTTGCAGGTCCAGCTGCTTTTTCAATTGCAGATGTGGATTTCCCCCTTGATATTGATGCCACTTTAAGAAATGGAAGAGAATTTAATTCTTGGAACAAGCCATATTTAGAAGTAGGAATTGATGGTATATCCTCCACAGAATAGCTTAGAGACTCCCACTAAAGTAGTAATCTGCATCTCCTTCCAGAACCCCTGTCTTCATGCGGAGGAGCAGAAGTCAGCTTCTAATTTGGATATTTTCACTGGTGCCAGTGTAGCTCTCTTGCAATTTTTAAGAATGTTAACTAAACTGTGTTTTGGATGCTGAAAGGTGTAACGGTTTGCCTCTGTATGCAGGAGAGATGCAGTGGTGGCTGCCCAAAACTTTACATGTGTTGGTTGTGGAACCCCGATAGAAAGCAGTAAGTATTACCAAAAGGGAAAAAAACTAATAAATCCGTTACCAGTGATCAGGCTATAATCTTCACCCACATAGATGTACCACAATTGTAAAATTATCTGAGCTAGAACGAAAATCTCATTCTTGGATGTACCTGCAATAATAAAACAGGTAGTGGGATCTTACCACTGCCTGGAATTTCTCATTGCAGAGAGAATACAATACTTGATAGATGTCCTTCTCGTACACAGTGAAAATTCATGACAACCAATAACAGAACAGGAAAAGCTATTAAAAAATCAAGCTTCCAGGCTGGAAGGTGCTAGTTTTACAGCTTCTAATGGTGTTTTCTTTCTCTGTGTCAATTTACACATTCCAAAAGTCTCTTTTTAGAGACTTTATGGAGGCTTTATGCAAGCTTATGGCATGTGTGGATTTGCTCTTTTGGGGTGTCTTTTTAAAACTTTTTTTTCTTAAAATCTTGATCACAGATGCCCGTTTGCTTTATTTGTGATACTTTGTGAGAACTGCTCAAAAACATGATGATTTACAGGTCTGACAACCAGACCTTGCCTAAGAAATCTTTGAAGTGGCTTTCAAGACTTGTTCTGGATCTGCTCACAAAAGAGCAGCATTTGCGAGGGCCTGTAAAGTATCAACAGTCTATGATGGCACACTAACTCGAGCAGACCTGAGATAGCTGGGAAAAAACGCACAAACCTCTTCATATGAAAAAGTATTATACAAACGTGACTCCAAGATCAGCTTGTCTTTCCATTTGGTGAAAGTATTTTGTTGTGTGTTTTATCTCGTGTCTCTTTTTTACGGGTAAAGCAACAATGGTTTCTCTAAGATCTCATGGTGATAAATATAATCAGTTCAGTTTGACAAATACGGAAGTGAGGAAAGCTTTCTCTTCTAATGCAAAGTACAGACTTTGTGCACATGTTTACCACAATAATAAAAACCCCTACTTAAAAAAAAAATAAAAGAATCCCTTGCCCCCTCAGTCCAGTAGATCTGACTTATTTAGACAGAATGAGCCTACAGACAAGAGATGCATCCCATAAATATTCACAATTTCCTTGCTATCTACTTGCAGAATATATCAGGAGACTCCGCTATTGTGACTACCTGGGGAAATACTTCTGTGACTGCTGCCACAGCTATGCCCAGTCTTCCATTCCGGCCCGAATACTGATGAAGTGGGACTTCAAAAAATACTATGTATGCAACTTCTCCAAACACCTTCTGGACAGCATATGGCAGCACCCAATTTTCAATGTGTCATGTATTAACGAAGCCCTCTACACAAAAAGTAAAGAAATGGACAGGGTGAGGGTAAGTGTGTCCTTTTTTTATTGGGAATTTGTGCATTTGAGACTTTTGGGAAGAACTCCTTAGGGCAAGTTGTCCTTTGCTGTGTGTGTATGTAGAAAGGAGGCAGAGTTGGTTTCTCCGCACTTAGACTTGTCCCATCGCTGCTTCTGGGACTTGGCCTCTCTCCCCTCAGATGAGGGGGAGGAGGGAGAAGTTTCCAACCTATGCCAGAGGTCTCATTGTCTTTGGGAGGTGTTTCCTTATTGGTTTCCAGTTCTAGTTCATGGCAGGTAGCTGGGCTCCTGCAGTAAATATTTACCTCTGCTTGGCAATTGGCTGTTGGAAAACTCCAGAAGATTTGAATGACTCCTTCATTTTGTGGGCTGTTAGAGAACACACGCTCGGCTCATCTAAGGGATGTACCTCCTACAGCTTGAGGAAGGGTGCTCTGCCAAAGATTACAAGTTGCCATGCATTGCCTTCTTGGCTGAGGAGACACTTATCTGTTCTTACATAGGTTTGGGTCTAGCGTGTGCTGACATGGAGCCATTTGTAGCGTTAGGAATTGCTTCCCTTGTCAGTGAATAAAAGTGGCCTTTGCCTTCCTTGGCCTTCTGTGCATCAGACAATCCATTTGTTTAATTCTGTGCTCAGTGTGAAGTTCCTATTTTTAGGTGTGGCTTGACGTACTGACAAAGGTTGCTGTCTCAAATAGTGGTGTTCCTCACTTATGAATATATAAATGCAATTATTTTTCATTTAAAAATTGTTTTGTTTTTCCCCCTTCATGTTTTAGGAGACACAAGAACAGCTTTTTCATTTAAAAAAGCTCTTGAAAACCTGCAGGTTTGGTGAAAGGTATGGGCTATGATTGTGCATGAAAAATAGCTTATTAAAATGTACCTAAAGTGCTTATAGAGCCTTCTTCTCTAGAGACATTTGAGTGCAGTTTTAAATGAGTTAATACGAGCATTAGAGAAAATTCTGATAATAAAACTTCCTTCTATTGCACTGCAAACGTTCAGTGAAGAACAGGTTTTATGTGGTAGCTTTCTGTTTCTTGTAACATACTTAGACATTTGGTTTTAAATGTTGAATGATTTTTGTTAGGTGTATATTTTTTTCCTACTCTCTCTCTCTTAGGTTCTCTCCCATTCTCAAAAGGTCAAAGATACTTGTGTATATCTCTGAGATGATTTGCCTTTAAAAAAAGTTAACAGATGTGTTCCTTGAGGGTTTAAAGATTTCTTCCAGAAATCTGTCATAATGCTCAATTCAGTTTGTTTTATAAACATATTCAGACGAAAGTAGTAACCAAAAGTGAAATATCAAAACATGACCTTGCTTGTTACTGCAAATTAAACATTTTTCGTATTCACCTTTCCAAACTATGGGCATAACTGATAGGTAGACATGTGAATGATAAAACCACTGCAGCATTTCTGACCTTTTTAAAAACAGACATAAGCAAAATAAGCTTTAAAAGCAGGTTCTGTTCTCTCTTTGATATGGACCACCTCTTTTATGCATCAATTACGTGTTATTCACCAGAATTAAATATAAACGTTTTTTAATGTCTCTCTTCTGGACAGCTACCTGTGATTCCATTATAGAAATAAACATTAGGATCCTCACTGTACCTTCTATGTCAGTGATATTTTAAAAGTAATAGCTATATTTTCAGTGTTCACCCACTTAGTACAAGCATAGTTTCACCCAGTAGTGACCTATGTAGGATAAAACCCCTTAAAGTTCTCTTTAGAGAGGAAAAAAAAAAAAAAAGTAAATAGCCCTAGCTTATTGCATTAGGTACTATATGGGATTTTACCTATTGTTCCTGAGGTAGGAGAGAGACCTTTACTCATCATTTAAGAATGGCTGGGATAACTTTGCATGGCAACTCCAGTGCCTGAGGAATGCCAATTTAAAGCAGGGATTTTATTCTAAATCCCAAACCCTCCAGTTTTTGTTAGTGTGATCTCAAATTGGGAGGGGAGGTAGGATTTAGTGTGAACTTGCCTTTTATGATCCCTGGGTGACTAGAGAAGTGAAAGAGGCTTCAAATTCTTCAAATATACTTGAAAAACAACATTTTGTAACTTGATTTGTTTTTTCTTTCTCTTTGCAGTGTACTGAAGGAATTTGAACAGCTCCCCAGCCATCTGACAGAGGAGCTGCATCTCTTCTCACTGGATGATCTGGTGAAGATCAAACGAGGGCAGTTACTGCCCCTTCTTAAAGATATTCTGAAGAGCTCCACCTCCCATGTGGATGGTTGTGAGGTAAGGAAAAGCTAGTGCTCTTAGTGTCCTTGCAGCTGCTAGTGTGAGGAATATCCCTGCTGACATTCCCAAATAATTTTTTCTTAAATTAAAAGTAAATCAACTCTTTTGCTGTCCTTGTAGCTCTGTCAAGCAAAGGGGTTTATCTGTGAATTCTGTCAGAGCGCAGATCTGCTCTTTCCACATCAGATTGCCAAATGCAAAAGGTGCACAGGTATGTTCCAGACCAAACATTTTTCTTTCTTCTTTGGGGGGGTGTTAGTGTTCAGACATATTTTAGGAAAACATTGAGAACTTGCTTCACTGAAAGTACGTATATTTGAAAACATGCACCTGTATTTGAAAACCACGGATAGCATTTATCTTTGAAAACCAGCCTGTGGCAGCTGTCTTGCGTCAGTGAATTCAGAGAGCAAAACCAGGGACTTGCCTGAACATAATTATGGCTGCAGGGGGAGGCTATTTTTTGGGGTCTACACATGAGAGCGAGCCTGGGACAGTGCTATACAGCTGTTATATCAGATCTTGCTGACATTTATGGTAAATCCTGCGAATCTTATCAAAATGTTTAGTCATAGTTATTACGGTGGTGGTTGTTGTCCCGGCCTTGCACTGCTTCTGTTTACTTTTATACTTGGGTGATTAGATAGAACATCCTTCAAGGAACACAGCTATTGATTCATTTTTTAATTTGTTTTTTTTCCTGAATGTTAAACTGCTTGTATGTTTAAACAGAGTGCAAAACATGCTTTCACAAAGCATGCTTCAAGTCCGGAGGCTGCCCCAAATGTCTGCGGATTGCAGCTCGGAGGACGCTTTCAGAAACTCCGTCACTGGTGTCTCCATGAAACTGGATTCCAATGATGACTGCTGATTTCAAAAGATGCTCAAAGCCAAATCTTCAGGTGCCTGACTAAGAACTAAATAATGTTGTTTTAGACATTACTATTTTTAATGCATATCTCCTTTATGGGGGGGTAAAAAAAAAAAAAGGAGAAAAAAAAAAAAAGGGAAAAAAAAAAAAAAAAAAAAAAAAAAAAAAAAAAAAAAAAAAAAGAGACTTTAATATCATCATTGAAAACTCACCCTAAATGAGTTTCATCTTAACTGGTGACAGAAAGACAGGATGTTAATTCTGTGAGCAGCCTTTTGTTGCTATGTTTTGTCCTTGTATGTAAGAATTTTAATATTCTATTTTTCCATATAAAAATTATTCTTCTCTGTAATTCTGCAAATAGTGTATAGATAGTAAATGAGTGTTGGAAATCCTTACCTGTGTCGGATTTTGGAAATAGGACAAAGTGGTAAAGTATGAAATCACTCTCTCAAAAACTCTACAACAGAAAAACCTTGCCTGCAAGCTTTAGGCAGATGCTGATCTGAAATTCAGTTCTGGCAAATGCTTAATGTGAACCAGTGGATTTTAAGTTTCTTTTAAACAGATGTATGCAACAGCTTGTGGTGGGTTGACCTTGGCCTGCTTCTGGATGCCTATCCAGCTGCTCTCTTACTCCCCGTCCTCAACAGGACAGGGGGAGAAAATAAGATGGAAGAGCTCGTAGGTTGAGATAGAGACAGGGAGATCACTTACCAACTACCGTCACAGGCAAAACAAACTCAAATTGGGGAAAGTTAGATTTATTGCCAATTAGAAATTGAGTAGGGTGGTGAGAAACAAAGACAAAAACTGAAACAACAACTTCCCCCTACCTCACCCACTCTTTTTCTGAGGCTCAACTTCACTTCTTCATTCCCAACTCTCCTATGGGGAGATGGGGTTTGCGGTCAGTCCATAACAGTTCCTCTCTGCTGCTCCTTCCTCCTCATGCTGTTCCTCTGCTCCAGTGTGGGGCCTTCCTGTGGGCTGCAGTCCTTCAGGGTAAACCTGCTCCTGCATGGGTTCTTCAGGAGATGTAGTTCCTTCAGGAAATACCCATGTGCTCCAGTGGGATCCTTTCCATGGGCTGCAGGGGAATCTCTGCTCTGGTGCCTGGAGCACCTCTTCCCCCTCCTTCTTCACTGACCTTAGTGTTTGTACTGCTGTTTCTCACTGCTCCCCACCCTGCCTATGTGGTGTTTTGCCCTTTCTTGAATACATTTTCTCGTCCTGGCTGAGGCGCTCAGCTGTGTCCTGCGGTGGGTCCGTCGGAGCTGGCTGGAAGCAGTTGCCTGGCATGAGACAGCCCCAGCCTCTTCACACAGAGGCCACCCTGTGGCCCCCCCACTGCCAACACCTTGCCACCTACACCCAGTGCACTGCTCTAGAAGTTTCTTTCCAGAGCACTTGGAAATGGGAGGAGAGGTGGTGAGCGAGCAGGAGAGATGCTCCTGTTTAAATCCACCCTCATGCTTGCAGACTGACTCCTTGCCTAAAGGTGAACTGCTGGAAGTTGAAAGCAGCTTTCTTTCCCAGCCTGGTTGGTTACTTCTGATGAAACTGGCTGAGGAAGCAGCCTCTGCCTTTAGAAACCCAGAGCAGCTGCTTGAACCTGTAAAACCATTTTTCTATTTGTGCCACATACGAAGTACCGATGAACAGAGAAACCTCAGAACTGGAAAGCATGTACCAAAGTTCTGATCTCTCCAATGGGGTTCTCCTAATATTTTGAATTTGTTGTTCTCGTTTTGTGCTTTGTTCTTCTTCTCCTCACCTGCTAGCTTCAGCTTTTAGCAAGGAAAAGATCAGCTGTCTGTTACCAGGGTCTTTGTAAGTTCACCTCCATGCTAATGCTCACAGTACTAGTAAGCTTGTTAACTCTTCCACTTAGCTATTTCTTCTGTGGCTGAAAACAGCTTACCTACTTACTGCTCAGGAGCATGATTATCATCTCTTACTGAAGATCACTAAACGGATACTGACGTAGGGTAAGATGTGGTGAGAAAGAACCTGCTTATGCAGCTGACTGTATTTAATGTTATGCAAGAGTAAATTCTCATTTAAGTTGGGTGCACAACTAACTGAATCACATGAAAGGCCTTGCTGTAGGGATTTTCTGCTTATGAAGGAACTCACTTGAATAATCCTTCTGTGGGATAACCTGCAGGGCAACTGAATACATCTTTTTCATTATTCATGAACTTAGAAGAGCTGATCTGGTTTCTGGCTGTGCTTGTCACAAATGTTCAAGTCTCACTAAACAGTAGTGGTACGCAGGAGGGGGAGCATCAGAGTTTCATGCATCAAGTGTTGATACTTTACATCCACTCAGTTCAGTCCAGGTCTCCATATCGCCTGTATGGCTTATCCTGACTAATTATTGCTACGTACCACAATGAATATTGCAGCAAGAGAAGATCCTTGATGAATTTGAGTAGCTGGTGGGAAGTGGAATACCCAAGAGGATCAGCATGCCTATAATCCAAGTAATACTAGTTAAAATGTTCTGCTGCTGAAGCTAAAGTAAGAAGAACCAAGTTGTGAGGTGCCAACAGGTTGATCACAAGTTGGAAGGAATAACAGAGGGCACTATTTGCTGCTTTTGAGGGAGTGGTGCTCTTGACTGTTAGGTCGGGCGGAGGATCATACCGAAACCACATTCTTGTGTGCTGGTGTCAGCACAAGATACCACAGGAACATCCTGAGGCCGTTCACCCTGAACCTCTTCTCTGGTGAGAAGCAAGGCATGGGCGACTAGACCTGTAGCTGCAAGATGTTCTCTGTGTTGCTGAGGTGAGTGTTTCTTCTTATCGGCTGCTATCCTGGGGTAGCATAAAGCAACCACGATAAAACCGAAAGCATGCGCTATATCTTTCTGTATTTGGTGACAAAGTGGCTTGGACAGGAAGGGGTGACTTCCATACTATAAACCCTCTAGGTGTCTTTAGGGTGTAGCCGTGTTCTTTGAATCAAGTTTTGAGACTCATTAAGCTTCTTGCATCAACACTATGCTCTTCCTGAGCATATCTCTATGGATAAGTACTGAGTTGGATCATTTCTGAGGTTAAACCAGATGATAAGGCAGATCCAAGATAAGAACTTTTTAAGAAACAAAAGCTATATGGCTACAGTGAACTTCTTTGCAGGAAGTAATGCGCAACATATGGAAGCTCTGAATTCTTTGAGAAGATATAGAAGAGGTAGGCTGTCTTACCAAGGAGTTGGGCCAGTTCAAAATAAGCTGCCTGCTAGCTAGAAAGCCGAACATGTTTTACAGGGGACAGTCACAAGAGACATGACTCTTCAGCTAGGGA